CCCCCCCCCCAGGTCGCTGCCCTCCTGGCCGAGAGAGGACAACACGCCCCACGGAATAGGGACAGATCGGCACAGGACCCGGCTGGGAGGCAAAAACAAAACCACGGCACCTATTTATGCGCCGGTCCCCGGAGGGGGGACACGTCCTCCCTTGCCGCTACAGATCCCGACATCGCCCCTCCCCCCCCCCTCTGCCCCCAGCAACACGCCCCCTGGAGTATGCTTACCTCCTGGGCCTGCTCCACGCCACTCGTTGTCGCTCGCCGCCCGCTCGCTGCCGCCGCCGCCGCCGCCGCCACCACCCCCCGTCGCCACATGTCCGCCCCCAGCACCAACACCCCTGCTGCCGCCGCCGCCGCCGCCGGCGCCGCCGCCGCTCCCAAGGAGGAGACCATGCTCGACCGGCTGAACGACTCCTCGCGCGCCTTCCTCCGGGCCTACTCCCAGCGGCTGCTGGATGTTGCTGATGGCCCGGCCCCCTTCGGGCTGCTGAGCGCCCCGGACCACGAATCCCAGCCGCGCCTGCCTCAGCTGCTGCTGGTCGCCAAGTGCCAGACGCTGGACTCCCTGCGCGAGGCCCATGCTCTGGGGCAGGTGAACTTCGGGGAGAACTACATCCCGGAGCTGTGTAACAAGGCGCTGCTGGTATGTACATAACATATACATGGCACTCCGCCCCATGTTAGCGGGTCGCGGAAGCTCCTGGCCCTCGCTTCCCCTCCTCCGATCTGACATCCCATCCGTCCCTCTTACCTCCACCGCCCGCCCGCCCGCCCGCCTGCCGGCATTCACGCACACGCGCACACATGTGCATCTCTGTACACAGCTCCCCAAGACCATCCAGTGGCACTACATCGGCATCTTGCAGTCCAACAAGATCCGGCATCTCCTCCAGAGTACGTCCCTGTCGCTGTTGTGTCCGGTGCGCGGGTGCGCAGATGCGCGGAGGGTCTGCCCGCGCGCGTGCGCCGACACGCGTCTTCCCGGAGGCTGACATCTTCGCGACCACACCCATGCAGGCGTCCCCAACCTTGCCGGCATCCAGACCGTCACCTCCGAGCGCCAGGCACAGACCATCTCCCGGGTGATGGGTGAGCTGAAGGCCTCCGGCGTTCGGGCCCCCGGCGATCGGCTGCGCCTCTTTGTGCAAATTAACACCAGTGGCGAGGACACCAAATCCGGCCTGGACGCGGCCTCGGTGGACACGGCCCCGGCCACCAGCGAAACCGATCAGACTCACCCGGACTTTGCTGTCATGCGCCTCATCCGCCAGATCCAGGCCCTGGACCATGTGGCCTTCGAGGGCCTGATGACCATCGGCTCCACCGAGGAGTCGTACGCCGACTCGGGCTACAATTCCGACTTCGCCGTACGTGTGGCGCGGCGACTGCTCGGCCTCTGTCTCTCCCTCTATCTTGGCTCCCCGTTTCCTCCCTGTCCATCTCTTCCCCCTCATATTACTTGGTCCTGAGACATGCCCGTCTATCTCGCATTCCCCCTCGCCCTCTCTCTCTCTCACACACACACACACACACACACACACACGCGCGCGTGCGTATCCACCCCTACACATACACTCGTATGCACAGCGGCTGCATGCCCTGCGCGAGCGCATTTGCACCACGACCGGCCTCCACCAGGGCATCATCGGCCTGAGCATGGGGATGTCCGCGGACTTCGAGCAGGCCGTACGTGCCCTCCATTTTGATCACACCCTTGGAGCCATGTCCCCCGTGTGGCCCTCATGGCCGATGCCCCGGCCAGTCACTCACCCATGCACCTGTCAAACTCGACACATCGACAGATTCGCCAGGGCAGCACCTGCGTCCGCATCGGGTCGGCCATCTTCGGTGGCCGTAACATGGAGGCCGTCCAGCAGATCGCCCTCCAGGCTGAGGAATTCCGCAAGCAGCAGGCATCCTCCTCGTGAGGGGAAGTGCGCGCGAAAGAAAGGGAGAGCGTGTGCGAGACTGCCGGCGGAGAAAGGCGCCCCCCCCCCCCGGGGGGTTGCTCTCTCTCTCTCTCTTTCTTTCTTTCTTTCTTTCCCTCTTTCTCTTACTCTCTTGGTGAGACAGCGCGAGGCAGACTCCCCCGCCGGAAAGGGGAAGGAATACATATACTAGCCCATGCTCCGGAAGTGTGTAACAAACGGGTCGAGGAGTGCTGGCGCACAGCAGAGCACCGCACAGGCCACTGTGCAAACATCAGGAAATTGGAAACGCAGGAGAGGGGGGGGGGGGCGCGTCGGGAGTGTAACGATTTTTCTTTATTCGGAGGGGGACACAGCAAGGAAGCGGGCAGCTGTCCCAAAATGCATATGCTCATCTGTGCGCGTGTGTGCGTGTGAAGGGGCGGCAGGGGGTGGGGCCCCGGCTGGGAGAGGGAAGGGAGACGGCAGAGAGAGAGAGAGAGGGGGGGGGGAAGGGAGGAGGAGGGACAGGGAGGCGATTACTTGTAGAAGTAGGCAACGGCGATGGCCATGATGGCGACGAGGGGGATGACCACCAGCATGGGGCTGTGTCCGAGGGGAGGAAAGCCAGAGGGTTAGTCGTGTGCGCCACGGCGAGGCAGGAGACAACAACAATGTCAGGCAAGGGGGCGTGAGGAGCCTCTGGATGCGATGCAGCACGCACTTGAAGGGCTGGGTGGCGTTGTCGCGGATCGGGACCTGGGTCGGGGCAGCGGCCTTCTGGACGTGCAGGGATGCGGGTGCGGGTGGACATGTGTGGAGGTATACATGGCAGGCAGAGGCTGTGAGTGGGGGGCCATCGACAAACAGGGAAATGCATAAACAGGGAGATGCAGAAGCAGAGAGAGAAAGAAAGAAAGGGACAGGGGGGGGGAATGAAGATGGGCCCCTCATCTGCCAGGCGGACAGCCCGTCTGGCACCAAATGAAAAGAAGCGTGCGTTCGAGGAGCAGCGAGGAATAGGGGGGGGGGGGGGCGGACACGTACGGCCTTCTTGCCCTTCTTCGGGGCATCGGAGACCGGGCCGACCAGGTAGTTCTCCAGATCCTGCTGAGCCTCGAGGGAGTGGCCAATGTCGGCGAAGGCGTCGGTGGCGTCGGTACCGGCCAGCTCGACGATGATCTCCTGGCCACCGGGGTGGTTGTCGAGGAACTTGGTGACATCGTAGGCGTTGCCATTGATGACCAGGTAGCAGTCGGACTCGGTGTTGTGCTTGGCAACCTCGGCCATGGTGAGGCTGCGTCGGGCATTGGAGAGAAGGCGGGGCATGGCGTGTGGCGGAAGCGAGGGGGGAGGTCAGTGGCATGCGAGGATGTGGGCATGTGCGTGTGCGTGTGCGTATGGAGAGAACGAGCGAGCGAGAGAGAGAGAGAGAGAGAGAAGGAGCGAGGGCGGAGGAGCACGGCAAAGGGCCGCCATCGGGGCCCATGTGCGTGCGCGCGTGCGTGCGGTGGACAGACGTACGTCTTGGTGGAGGACATGGTGGTGGCTGGGAGAGGAAGGAAAGGGGGGGGGGCAACACAAAGGGTGGGGAAAGGGACGGGGTGGGAGGTAGGAGATAAGAGAAATCAATCTACCGAGGGGGGTTGCCGGCGCACCCGGGCGCCGCGAAGGCTGTGGCGGCCGAAGAAATTGGCGAGAGAGGGGCCCAGGCACCCCCCGGGCAGCGATCCGCCCCTGCCCACCGCGGTCGGCGGGCAGGGGGGGGGGGGGCGGGGCGCGGGGCCGGCACACAGGCCAGATGTGAAGCTGCGCCAGCCGGCAGGAGCACGAGGCAGGGAAAAAACGGCCGGGCGTCGCGCACACCAGCGAACCATGCTTCCCCCCCCCCCGGCTTTGTCCGCTCGCGGGGAACAAGCGTCCCCCTTCCCAGGCCCAGTGGCCCCTGGGCCGCGGCCCCTCTGCAAGAGGCCCGGGAACGTCGGTGCACAGGCGACACACACCCGCGTGCCCGCGCAAGACTCCTCGCCCAGGGCGGTGGCAAGAAACGCCAGGCCCGCCGCCGGCGAATGTGCAAATGTGGCCTTTGCTGCGTGAAGTCCCCCCCCCCCAGGTAAATGCCGACGTATGCCGGAACGCCGGGCCGCGCTCGCACGTACACCGGCCTGGGCACCGTGCGGGCAGACTGTCCCCCTCCGCTCGCTGCCTCCCATGACAACGCTGGCGACCCGCCCTGGCAGCGCCGATCGGCGGGCGTGTTCGTCGCTGAGGATTCCCCCAGCTGCGGAAGGACCGCCAGACGGCC